TATGTTTCTAGGTTTGGCAGCACCATACCCGTGCTCGTGGGTTTCACCGAAGTGGTAAACTTCTAAGGCCTGCATCACTCCGGGCTTTCCTCCCACATTAAGCTGAAACGCCGTGATGTAACTGGAATAATGTTAAAAGCGGCGTTAAAACCCAACTCACTCACTCACTCACTCTCATGAACACCCATGTAACAGGTCTTTAGTTTCTGGTCTCATTAACACCCCTGTATCAGGTCTTTTGTTTCTGGTCTCATTAACACAAATGTATCAGGTCTTTCTTTTCAGGTCTCATGACCAACCATGTATCAGGTCTTTAGTTTCTTGTCTCATGAACACCCATGAATCAGGTCTTTAGTTGCTTGTCTCATGACCAACCATGTATTAGGTCTTTAGTTTCTTGTCTCATGAACACCCATGTAACAGGTCTTTAGTTTCTGGTCTCATTAACACAAATGTAACAGGTCTTTGTTTCTGGTCTCATTAACACCCATGTAACAGGTCTTTAGTTTCTGGTCCCATTAACACCCATGTATCAGGTCTTAAGTTTCTTGTCTCATGAACACCGGGGGCACGGGTGGCCCAGTCGTCTAAGGCGCCGCGATTCGCTGTGCAGAGATGCAACCCTTGGGCACGCCAGAAACCTTTGATTGTGGGTTCGAATCCCGGTTCGCCCCGATTATGTTTCTAGGTTTGGCAGCACCATACCCGTGCTCGTGGGTTTCACCGAAGTGGTAAACTTCTAAGGCCTGCATCACTCCGGGCTTTCCTCCCACATTAAGCTGAAACGCCGTGATGTAACTGGAATAATGTTAAAAGCGGCGTTAAAACCCAACTCACTCACTCACTCACTCTCATGAACACCCATGTAACAGGTCTTTAGTTTCTGGTCTCATTAACACCCCTGTATCAGGTCTTTTGTTTCTGGTCTCATTAACACCTCTGTATCAGGTCTTTAGTTTCTTGTCTCATGGACACCGGGGGCACGGGTGGCCCAGTCGTCTAAGGCGCCGCGATTTGCTGTGCAGAGATGCAACCCTTGGGCACGCCAGAAACCTTTGATTGTGGGTTCGAATCCCGGTTCGCCCCGATTATGTTTCTAGGTTTGTCAGCACCATACCCGTGCTCGTGGGTTTCACCGAAGTGGTAAACGTCTAAGACCTGCATCACTTGTGGCTTTCCTCCCACATTAAGCTGACACGCGGTGGTATAACTGGAATAATGTTAAAAGCGGCGTTAAAACCCAACTCACTCACTCACTCACTCTCATGAACACCCATGTAACAGGTCTTTAGTTTCTGGTCTCATTAACACCCATGTAATAGGTCTTTAGTTTCAGGTCTCATGACCACGTATGTATCAGGTCTTTAGTTTCTTGTCTCATGAACACCGGGGGCACGGGTGGCCCAGTCGTCTAAGGCGCCGCGATTCGCTGTGCAGAGATGCAACCCTTGGGCACGCCAGAAACCTTTGATTGTGGGTTCGAATCCCGGTTCGCCCCGATTATGTTTCTAGGTTTGGCAGCACCATACCCGTGCTCGTGGGTTTCACCGAAGTGGTAAACTTCTAAGGCCTGCATCACTCCGGGCTTTCCTCCCACATTAAGCTGAAACGCCGTGATGTAACTGGAATAATGTTAAAAGCGGCGTTAAAACCCAACTCACTCACTCACTCACTCTCATGAACACCCATGTAACAGGTCTTTAGTTTCTGGTCTCATTAACACCCCTGTATCAGGTCTTTTGTTTCTGGTCTCATTAACACCTCTGTATCAGGTCTTTAGTTTCTTGTCTCATGGACACCGGGGGCACGGGTGGCCCAGTCGTCTAAGGCGCCGCGATTTGCTGTGCAGAGATGCAACCCTTGGGCACGCCAGAAACCTTTGATTGTGGGTTCGAATCCCGGTTCGCCCCGATTATGTTTCTAGGTTTGTCAGCACCATACCCGTGCTCGTGGGTTTCACCGAAGTGGTAAACGTCTAAGACCTGCATCACTTGTGGCTTTCCTCCCACATTAAGCTGACACGCGGTGGTATAACTGGAATAATGTTAAAAGCGGCGTTAAAACCCAACTCACTCACTCACTCACTCTCATGAACACCCATGTAACAGGTCTTTAGTTTCTGGTCTCATTAACACCCATGTAATAGGTCTTTAGTTTCAGGTCTCATGACCACGTATGTATCAGGTCTTTAGTTTCTTGTCTCATGAACACCGGGGGCACGGGTGGCCCAGTCGTCTAAGGCGCCGCGATTCGCTGTGCAGAGATGCAACCCTTGGGCACGCCAGAAACCTTTGATTGTGGGTTCGAATCCCGGTTCGCCCCGATTATGTTTCTAGGTTTGTCAGCACCATACCCGTGCTTGTGGGTTTCACCGAAGTGGTAAACGTCTGAGACCTGCATCACTCCGGGCATTCCTCCAACATTAAGCTGAAACGCCGTGATATAACTTGAATAATGTCAAAAGCGGCGTTAAAACCCAACTCACTCACTCACTCACTCTCATTAACACCCCTTATTAGGTCTTTAGTTTTTTGTCTCATTAACACCCATGTAACAGGTCTTTGTTTCTGGTCTCATTAACACAAATGAAACAGGTCTTTAGTTTCTTGTCTCATTAACACCCATGTAACAGGTCTTTAGTTTCTGGGCTCAATAACACCCATGTAACAGGTCTTTAGTTTCTGGTCTCAATAACACCCATGTAACAGGTCTTTAGTTTCTTGTCTCATTAACACCCATGTAACAGGTCTTTAGTTTCTTGTCTCAATAACACCCATGTAACAGGTCTTTAGTTTCTGGTCTCAATAACACCCATGTAACAGGTCTTTGTTTCTGGTCTCATTAACACAAATGAAACAGGTCTTTAGTTTCTTGTCTCATTAACACCCATGTAACAGGTCTTTAGTTTCTGGTCTCAATAACATTCATGTAATAGGTCTTTAGTTTCTGGTCTCAATAACACCCATGTAACAGGTCTTAAGTTTCTATTCTCAATAACACCCATGTATCAGGTCTTTAGTTTCTTGTCTCATTAACACCAATGTATCAGGTCTTTAGTTTCTTGTCTCATCCACACCAATGTATCAGGTCTTTTGTTTCTGGTCTCATTAACACCTCTGTATCAGGTCTTTAGTTTCTTGTCTCATTAACACCAATGTATCAGGTCTTTAGTTTCTTGTCTCATTAACACCCCTGTATCAGGTCTTTAGATTCTTGTCTCATTAACACCCATGTACCAGGTCTTTAGTTTCCGGTCATACTTATACCTGTGTAATTTCACCTGTGTATCAGTTCTTTAGTTTCTGGTATAATTTCACTTGTGTATCTGTTCTCTTGTTTCTTGTATAATTTCACTTGTGTATCAGTTCTTTAGTTTCTTGTATAATTTCACTTGTGTATCTGTTCTTTAGTTTCTTGTACAATTTCATTTGTGTATAGGTTTTTAGTTTCTTGTATAATTTCACTTGTGTATCGGTTCTCTAGTTTCTTGTATAATTTCACTTGTGTATCGGTTCTTTAGTTTCTTTATAATTTCACTTGTACATCGGTTCTTTAGTTTCTTGTATAATTTCACTTGTGTATAGGTTCTTTAGTTTCTTTTTAATTTCACCTGTGTATCAGCTCTTTAGTTTCTTCTATATTTTCACTTGTGTATAGGTTCTTTAGTTTCTTGTATAATTTCACTTGTGTATCGGTTCTTTAGTTTCTTGTATAATTTCACTTGTGTATCGGTTCTTTAGTTTCTTGTATAATTTCACTTGTGTATCAGTTCTTTAGTTTCTTGTATAATTTCACTTGTGTATCTATTCTCTAGTTTTTTGTATAATTTCACTTGTGTATTGGTTCTTTAGTTTCTTGTATAATTTCACTTGTGTATCAGTTCTTTAGTTTCTAGTATAATTTCACTACTGTATCAGTTCTTTAGTTTCTTGTATAATTTCACTTGTGTATCAGATCTTTAGTTTCTCGTATAATTTCACTTGTGTATTGGTTCTTTAGTTTCTTGCATAATTTAACCTGTGTATCAGTTCTTTAGTTTCTTGTATAATTTAACCTGTGTATCAGTTCTTTAGTTTCTTGTATAATTTCACTTGTGTATCAGTTCTTTAGTTTCTTGTATATTTACACTGTCTAGTCTAGTGTCTAGTGTTGTTGGTTGGGCAGGGAGAGAGAGGTTTGGCAAAAGGGAATGGATGACAAATCGGAGAAATTGATTAAATAAACATTTTGCTTTTCACATTTACAGTAGCAGCCATAGAATATTCACTACATTCCAATCAGTTTCCTACCAAATGTGACAAAGCAAATGTCTTGACTTTAATGTAAGTGCCACTGTCTGGCTGTTCTGGCTGCAACTGCACATCTGTTACTTGGTTATTTTAGCCATCAAACAGACACAAACATTTCCACACAACCTCCTATTATGCTAAATGTTGTATCAAACTTGGTCTAAAATATGAAATTCAGCACTAAATACTATTTTGGCACAGCTATACAGAAAACATGTAGATGTTTTACAAGGAATTTGGGGAACCTAAAATAATTATGAAAAAATGTGACAAAAATATTTTTTAACTGATTTACGCCAATATATTTCATAACTGATCGACATGCATATCAGTTCATGTATTATTCTTAGACGAACTAACACAATCAACGAAACTGTAGTCAATACACTTCTAATTGCTACACCAATGACGACTAGTCTCAAGTATTTAATCCATGTTCAAACAACATCAATATTCTGTTGTGTACACTCCTGTAAGTAAATATTTTACTCTGAAAAATACTCAGAGTAATAAACAGAATTCAACTATAACAGGGAAGAATTTGCTTGCAATACAACATCCAAATGTTCATTTACTTCAAAAAGTGCATTCAAGTCCATGACATACCTCTACATTGACACGATGATGACTGATGGTAGCCCCAGTGTTAGATAGTATGTAAGTATGTATGCCAGACACACAAGGATGTTATAAAACTGAAAAGCAGCCTACCTGCCAAAGATGTTGAATGAGTCCGGGAAGTGAAGGCTGGCTGGCCTGTGATCAAGTGAGTTGCTGCTCTTGACATACTGGGGTCTGCTTGCCTCCAGGATCTCAACTGCGCTCCGCCGCCTCCGAGCTAGAAGAGAGGGCAGAGAACACTTATCACAAGCCATTGAGCCAGGCGAGTGGTAGGCTGGGGATTATGTTGGTGAGGCCCCCGTCCCCAGGCTCTGCTGTTATGTAGCAAGGCAGGGAGCGATGTCCCACCCGACGCCCGGCTGTAGATAATCAGATAGATCGTGGCCTGCAACCTTGGTCTGCCTTGTCAAACTAACGTGGCTTAACCATTTTTTTAAATTAATGGATTGAAAATTGCAAGTTCTTGTAATCTAATCTTCAAAAAGCATTTTTACAAATTGGGAAAACCGACAAGTCATGATTCCGTTTTTCTTGGATGATTCTGAGTTTCTCCATTAGTGAGATGCCAAATGGCTGTTTGAGGTATTACTTGAAATATTAACTGTCTTATTTAACAAGACAGATTTTTGAGGCCTTATTACGGGAATTGCCATAAAATGTGGCCAGGTCATCAGCAGCACGAGCCCTGACTGATCACGTCACAACACACTTCATCTTCTCCTGCTGCGTTAATAAACGTCAACTGGAGTGACTGAGTGAGTGAGTGTGGGTGGGCGAGGAGGAGAATGAGTGGTGTGTGGGTAGGTGAGTGAGGTGAGGTGAAATTGGGTTTAACGTCACGCCGAAGATTATTGCACTTATATAGCGACGTGCATGCACGTGTGTGTGGCTGCTTGTACTAGTCCGGGCTGATGCCGATTTATAGTGCTGGCACACTGAGATACCATGCCGCAGTTTAACATGAATACCCCACTCAGCCGACCAGTCCTTGTTTTAGCCCCTTAATGTCGAGCGCCAGACAGGGTAACAACAAGTACCATCTTTTCACGTCTTTTGGTATGACGTGGCCGGGGATCGAACCCCGGACCTTCCGCTCTCCGGGCGGACGCTCTACCTCTAGACCACGGAGGCGGTCAGGTAGGTGAGTAAGTGAGTGAGTGGGAGGTTGTGAGATAGGGTGAGTGTGAGAGTGGGTGAGTGAGTGAGAGTGAGAGTGTGTGGATGGGTGAGCGAGTGGGTGTGAGAGTGGGTCTAAGGGTGTGAGGGTGTGTGGGTAATTGATTGAGTGAATGAAGGAGTGAGTGAGTGAATGAAGGAGTAAGTCATTGAGTGAATGATTGAGTAAATGAAGGAGTGAGTGGAATGGGTGAGTGTAAGAGTGAGTGAGTGAATGAAGGAGTGAGTAAAGAAGTGAGTGAGTGAAGGAAGGAGTGAGTGAATGAAAGTTGGTGAGTGAAGGTGTGGGTGAGTGAGAGAGTGAAGCAGAGAGTGAATGGAGGAGTGGGGGACCTAGATCAACTACATGACTGTCATCCAGGATGCTAATTGTTTCACATATTTTATGTCAAATATGACCTGTAGCAACTGTAAAAGCACAGATTTTTTCCAGAAAAAACATCTGACATTGTTTTGTTTTTTCCCATTTCCTGTTTTGTGTGGGTATGTGGCCTATTCTTCATGCAGCTCCCCAGGTGCACACAGCACAGGCAGGCTGGCAACAACGTCAGGAACGGAAAAAGCATCCCTTGTTTAGTCTCAGGCTGTAGTTGAACAGGGACTCTGCGTATACTTCAACAAACAGAAGCCAGCTGACTGTCGGAACTACATGGTGGAACCTGCATCAACTGTCAGGTCCTCATCTGGTAACCATGGCAATGGGGAATATGGTCAGTGATTGTAGGTTTCAAATCAGTGAGTGTTCTGTGACAATGAAGTGAAGTTGGGTGATATCTCAGATGGGCTGGAGTCAGTGCAGGACAGGAAGAGTTATGTCCCCTGCACCAGTGACACCGAGCCTGCAATGATTCTCTTGAAGCAGTTTTCTGTAGACTTTCGGAAACCATGTGAACAGAACTAACACCACAACAAAAGGCTGCAGGGGATCTACTCCCGGTATCATGTACTCTTTCCACACCCGTAATGCTGTATGCCCACCCGTAATTCTGTATGCCCACCCGTTATGCTGTATGCCCACCCCTAATGCTGTTTGCCCGACATTATATACTCCACCCCCTCCTGGCGTATACAACACCCGTAAAGCTGTATGCCACACCCCTAATGCCACATGCCACACCCTAATGCTGTATGGCACACCTCCTGTTGTCTACCTCCATGCCTACATTGTTTTTACTCGGTCACATCATCGGCTGTGTGTGTCACATCGTCATCAGTTGGTGTCAAACATCCCTGTCAGTCTCGTTCATGGTGCGAAACTCAACTTTATAATATACAGCAAACACTGGTGTCCAGTGATGAAACTATTTAGGCTGGAAACAATCTGTTTGACACTTTCATTTGATTACATCGTTAACTATGATTTATCATCCAAAACTGGCTCTCACAGAAGATATCGCTTTGGTGAGTTCAATGAAATTGCATCACAATGCTTTGCCGAACATTGTGACGCCATGGGTAACCATGATGTCAGTCAAATGACATCACTAATGGCTCTGCTACTTTCTACACTGCTCATTACTGTCTACAAACTGAAAAAGTTTGAAGCATGATGTAGGATAATAGATAAAATCTCACCCGAGTGTCTTGATATCAAATTATGAAATTTAAAAAAAACAAGAGAAACAGCTTCCCACATTATGAAAGTGGATGACTGGTTTGTAAAATCTTTATTAGAAATAATAATGACTTTTTCAATATAATTACAACGTTTTTCATCTTATGTTTTTTAATATCTGCGAGTACCGGCACATGTCTTGCTGTCCGACTTCGCAGTGTTTTTCTGCCTTTCACTTCCTGGTTTGGCTTATCTGCGGGTCATATCATTTTCTCTCGTATTTCAATGGTCAAGTTAGCACCGCGGCTTATCTACGGGGTCGGCTTATCCGCGGTCATATACGGTATATCAACACTCATTGACAAAAGTGGAAAAACTGCTCGGCAAGCCTCAGGAAAACTCCTGTAAGCAATGCAAGTGTTCAGCTGAGAGACTTCCACCCGCATCCCCCTCCAAAAGTTGTATATGTTTGCATTGCCGCTCAGTTATATATATCTTTTATACTTTATGTCTGTGTGTCACATAGGTCATGAATAACTTTATTTTTGTGTGTCACATGGGTCATGAATAACTGTCACATAGGTCATGAATAACTGTCACATAGGTCATGAATAACTGTCACATAGGTCATGAATAACTGTCACATGGGTCATGAATAACTGTCACATAGGTCATGAATAACTCTATATTTGTGGATCACATGGGTCATGAATAACTGTCACATAGGTCATGAATAACTGTCACATAGGTCATGAATCACTTTATATTTGTGGATCACATGGGTCATGAATAACTTTATATCTTTATCTCGTGACTTCTGTTGTACAATAAGTCTCGTCCTGCACAAACTTCTCCTAAACATGACAAATCTGTGGGGTAGTTATTAGCTCAGCGTTACCCCAGCCAGGGCAATCTAGACCAATAGATCTGTTGATGGCTCACACGTCATTACTGCTGAGTACATGGAATACAGTTCCTGCCTACCAGACTGAGGGACACTGAGTTTTGTTATCTATGAAGATAAACACTGACCATGAAGTGAATCTTCACCACACCACTTGAACAATGAACATAGATATATACCAAATACAATCAGGGGAGATAACTCCCAGAAGTTAAGTCATCACCATGGCAACAATGCCTCTGGTAGTGGTTATGTCTCCATATGTAATTGAGTGAGTGAGTGAGGTGGGTTTAGCGCCGCTTTTAACAGTATTCCAGTTATACCACCGCGTGTCAGCTTAATGTGGGAGGAAAGCCCCAAGTGATGCAGGTCTTAGACGTTTACCACTTCGGTGAAACCCACGAGCACGGGTATGGTGCTGACAAACCTAGAAACATAATCGTGGTGAACTGGCATTCGAACCCACAATCATAGGTTTCTGGCGTGCCCAAGGGATGCAACTCTGCACAGCGAATCGCGGCGCCTTAGACGACTGGGCCATATGGGCCATGGGCCATGTGCCCCCTCTCCATATGTAAACTGTATGAACTTGAGAATCTACACAGAGATCCTACAGCTTGTGATGAGTTCAGACAGAGGAAGAGGACCTGAGCAGTAATGGTTTGCTATGACCTAGCTTCGCCGAATAAATCGAAACATTTGAAAGTTGATTTGGCTGTGAGAGAAGTCCCTGCCACAAGGCACCATGTTCTTCTACCTCACACTGCCTGCAATTCCACTTCTGAGTATAAGCCCATGCCTCTATTTCTATAAACTGGAAAATTGCTTCATTTACATTCCAAGCCTGTACACTACATGTACTTTCATCCACATGTCCACTTGTTCATGGCCATGGCTGCGTGATCACAACATGTTATCAACCTCTGACAAAGAACTCAGTGGTATAAGGTGATTATATCATATTAGAAAGAATACTAACCTTTGTTCTTCCCAATGAAATAATCCTAGTATTAAAACTAATGACGGATCATGTTGTCTGTGAGCGCTGTCTCACCTGACTGATACACCTCAGATACAACTACATCACACTAGCTCTTATTTTGACTGTGTAATCGCCTGATGAGGTCTGGTTGCCAGGTAACTGTCCTGGACTGATACTAAAAGCCTTACATCAATATACAGACTGTGTGATGATGTTGTGACCCACGGGCCCCATGTGCTGCCTACTGTGTCCGGCTGGCCACACCACACACAGACCATTACCAGCATCACAGCGAGTAACCTGGACCAATTCTGAAGGATTAAGGCAAATTGTTAATTATTCAGTTGGATGATGGAGATCCCATGTGGCAGGCTGGTGTTACAGTCTCACCCAATAATGACCCATGAGTGAGTGAGTGAGTGAGATCCTGAATGAGAGCATGAGTGAGATCGTGAGTGAGAACATGAGTGTGTGAGATCGTGAGTGAGATCATAACTGAGATCATGAGTGAGAACATGAGTGAGTGTGTGAGATCGTGAGTGAGATCGTAAGTGAGATCATGAGTGAGAACATGAGTGAGTGTGTGAGATCATGAGTGAG